GTTTGGTTTTTAAAAACTTTTAGCTCCTTTTATATTCGTCACGCGGTTGACAGCGACAACGACGTTCCTCGTATGTTTCTCATACTCTCATCTCTCTAAAAAGCTTTTCCGTTCCGACGGATGGATATCCGTCTGGAGTGTGGGAAGAGGAAGAGGCTCGAAGATCTTCGAAGGGGGAGCATTAGCACCGCGAGGGTTGTCACCCCACAAGCTCGGTTTCTAAAGTCGAATATCTCTACCCCATATCCGTCAGAAACGATATGACATTACCAAGTTTTCGGAATGGTAAGTCATGCGTTTTTCGCACCCTGTACAATAAATGTGTATCGAAATTATGTGTGTGCTAGCCGTTTGTTTTCGAGGTGACAATCGATACGAAAAACAAAAATCCGACAAGTACATAGCTGTTTTTCATTCCGGGAATCCATCTCGGATCGACTGTGATTTGATTTTCCGCTTGTGTTTCATTTGAGGAGCGCGGCGAAGATTTGTAAAATAAAGAAACGGCCAAATAATGTATTCAAAATATATAATAAGAAAATCCCATCACAATAATAATATTGCATTGTAGAACTTCGACACGACTTATTACCATTTAAATAGCGTACTACGTCGACCGTTGAATAACTAATAATGATTATATTATAGTAATGCATAAGTTATAACTACGTTACGTCGCTCTATTTAAATATAAATATAATAATATTCTTTTTTACTTTTCTTCGTTATTATTACATTACTTTTGCCATCTGATCAATTTTATAAAGTATCATGTTACAAAAAAATGTAAGTAGATTTGAAATTTCGCAAGATCGTGACCGTCGATAATGAGATAACAAATTGTTAAATTTGTTTTAAAAACAACATATTTATTCAAAAGAAACAACTGTATAAAAAAAAGTTTTTTCACAACTTTATAACATTATAATTATTGTATAATTCGTTTTCATGAATACTTACGGAATACCAATAACAGTTTTTTTCATACTTAGATCACAAAAGGAAAATTGTCCCACTCACCTGTAAAAAAAAATATTATTATATATTTAACACAATACGTATTTGACATATTTCACTGTGAATTTGTATGTGAAATCAACAGCTGAATGTTTCGCAATATATCATTTATATAGTAATGAAAAATGGCCAACAAGGGTAGTTTGAATTTTGAATATTTATAATTTCACAAAACGCCGCAATGACCATTTTTTTGGTTTATGCAACGAAAATTATGCTAATTTATTCTCTTTCATTGTTGTACTTTTAATTTTAACGACCAAAAAAAAAAAAGATGAACCGTAGGCGTTAACATCTGAAAGATTTTGACACAGAAATAATTACACGTGAAAGAAAACGGCCAAGTGACGGCTGGGCTGACAGGAAGGATCGACGTTTCATTCTTGACTACATAATAGGCGAGTGGCGCCGCAAAGACAACGTTTTCTTCAAAAAGTCCATTCAAATTAATTAACCTTTCTGTCCCATGTACCCGTCGGAGTACTTATAATTTAATCATGTCTTCGCCGTACTTAACGGCAACGGAAATATTTGTATTATTATTATACATAGGTCCCGTAGTAATTATTATAATAATGACTTGAGTAAATAACGTTTTATGAATTTAATAAATAAATATAACGGTGGTCTGGACGGACGGAGAGACATCAGCTGACGACAGTGACGTTCTTATTTCTCCCAGGGACGGAAAGGTAGACACTTGATTGTAGTCAGAGAATTGATGAATTCCATAACGACGACGATGGTTGCCGCCCCTTAACCGAGAATGGCTCTTGAAAATTATTAACGAGGTTGTTTTGGACCTCGCAGCACTGTAGTCAACAGATTTCCCCCGTTTTGTTGTTTTTTGTGTACGCTCTCCCACCTTACATATTATTTTATATTAACGTTAACTTTGACGACAAACTTGAAGGTGTGCTCTATTCAATTTATTGATTCTTTTTTCTTTTAACCACAGTCTCTTATTTGTTATGCAAGTATTTCATTCAACGTCAAATGAACGAGAATAATATTATAGAATGAACAAGTATATTTTTTTAAAGCACCTTTTTGACGTTATAAAATGTTATCTTTAAAAACATTTCAATAAGCACGGTAATGATAAATTTAATAAAAACGTTTGCATTGCTTTTTATTAAAAAGGTGTTTTTGTTTTTTAAATAGCTGTCTCAATAGTTTTACCTACATCACAATTTTGTAGGAAATCAAATGTTGATAACACAATGTTTTCAATAATATTATGTTTTTAAATTTAAATATAATAGGTACATTTCATAAAATATTTGCAAAACCTCACACAAAGTTTTGACTTATATCCCCTAAACTTCATCAAAGCATATGGAAAATATACTTATTATGCTATAAATGTGAGCATAATACCTGCCTAACTACAAATAACACCAGATTTATCTTCATTTGTATTTAAATTCAATTAACGTAGGTACTTGTTAGTGAACTATACAATTATTCGTTTGTATGATGATATATGTAAACAAAATATATACTACCGGCTTATTTATTTAAAAATAAATGGACGTTATTAATGCCATGCATGTAAAATCGACACCCTCAATTATTATCATTACCCTACCCTGATTCGTGTCTCTTTGTATAATATTATTTGCGTTTTCCTTACAATTAATATTGCTATAACTCGTCGTTTTTTCAGAACTAAACTTTTATAATTACTTCAACGTACAAAAAAAAAGTGTATCCACGTTGCACTTATAAGAAAACAAATAAAAAGCTATAAAATAAAAACAAATAACGAAAAATTATATTTTGCGTTTCGTTAATTAAATAGTTATTTTTTTTTAATTAAGCCAACTTTATTATTTCTGTATATTTTTTGTATATATCTGTTTTAACCGCATAACGTTATTGTCACTAACGGTTTCAAGAAAATATAAAATACTAATTTGATTTTTAATAAAAGCGACAAATTATACAAAATGTGCTTATTGTTCAACTGTTTTAAAAAAGTTTTAAACAAAAGGTGATATTTTGCGGTAAGTAACTTTCAGGGCTTTACAGAATGTTTAAAAAAAAAAAAAGGGGTAAACATAAGTATAGACCAGTCTCTCGACGCGACACGTCGATCTTTTATTATAATATTTTAAATAATGTTTTATTTTACTATTTATCGAGCCATCAATTGTTAGACAGTACAAAAGCGATCGTGGATAAGTACCGCCGGGTTTCTTACATTCGAACCCTTATTTTTCACTTCAAAAATAAAAACGCCTATCGGGTACACAAGGGCTATCGGGGTGTTGGGAGAGACTTTATATTGTAAAAAATTACCTCGGCCACGAAAACGTCAAAAAACGGCATGAATAAATCGCCGAGAAACCGCCGCCGCCGCCCGAGTGTATATAAGAACAATAAATAATATATTATTTTCTTTCACGGGCCGCACGTGCTCTGTTACAGTTTATCTAAAAATGTTCAAGGTACCGTGAAATGACAAGAGAATAATACCTGGAAACCTATAAAAAACGCATAACTTTTTTCTATTGGTTGCACTTTGTATGTACTACCGAGTTTTAGATAAATTAACGAGCCCGGTTAACATATAGTTGGTATGTGACATGGCCATGTCCGTTTTTAACATGTCAGCAGGCTTAAGAGAGTTATTCAAATTACAATTCATAATGACAAATTAAATATAACTAGTCGTGAAATACAAGTTACACAGCTTTGCTTCATGCAATTCCAATATTAATACACTTTAAAAATGGCGTGAAATTAAACTATATTAATTTTTTGATAAGGTATGTAGGTAAATTTATAAATTTAGTCTAAAATGTTTTGAGTTTTACAATTTTTTTGAAATAAGCCATCGAGGTGCCTACTTTCTTTCGGTGTTGATGAGATATAATTTTACACCGATTCGTGTTTTAGGGCTGGCGCACGTGCGGCGTCGTCGTCGTCGTCGTCTTAATAGAGACGTGAAACAAACTGTTGTTCAATTTGTCAAGACCTCTGTCGTTGGTCGATCTACGGCCTTCTGCGGTAACAACGACCGGCTTGACGACTGCTATCAGAGCTCTGTGTAGTATAACATGACGTACACGGCCGAGTAAAATTGGGGTGATCTCCACGTATTACAAGGCCCGGCGACCATCCTTGGAAATCTTGACAGCCGTCTGCGGATAACAATATTATTAATATGACGGCCGCGGATCCGAGACAGCTGAAACCCAAGGGTTAATACATGTTATGAGGGCGGCACGCACGAGTTCGGCGGAGCTTGTAGCCTAGGTACAAGTAAAGTACGTGACGTTACCAGGGACCGGCCGGAAAATCGATGGGTTTCCAATAGCATCCGGCCGCCGCTCTGTCATTTCCAATTTCCGCAGCCGGAAACGGTTCAGCGGTATGTATAGAAGGGCAAAAAAATATTCACTGTCAAGACCTTGGAAAACCTAGTCGCGAGCGAAACAATTAAAAAATTTGTATTTAATGACGGCTATCAGTATTTTGACAAATTTGATCGAATCGATCAATATTGTACATAAAATAACAATTTTTCATTTGCCAAATCCTTTATTGGTGTTTGATTAATATACGTTTCCAGTATTAAACAAACAAATCCATATAATATGTCAATGTTCAAACAAAGCCTCGAGTAGTGTGCACGTTTAATTTTTGTGAAATGTCGTTAGCTCGTCATTGTACTTTATACAGAGCAATTCACTAGAACTACTATACACGAAATGTGTAAATATTCCGAAGCCGCGCTGTATACACATGGATGATAGGTGCTCGGCAAACCGATAACGTGGTTACTGAACACTCTCGAACCGTGTTCGATTGCCGATAGATACCGATAAAGTCTTGTGGCCTAGCCGCGCTATCTATTACATATTAGGTATTATGGTTTGTTTTTGTGTTATCGAAACGTTTGAAAACAGCTGATGATCCCTCCCATCGTCACTCTTTGTAATCTGTATCGCCAACAGCGGTTTGACAGCTGCATTTTAGATGTCACTTGTCACACCGGTTGCATGGCCGCGGTGAATAGTACGGTATTGTCGTGTGGCTTAGCTTTTTTAACTTAACTTTCAAATCGGCTATAGATTTCGCTTTCGAAATCGATTTTCAATTCAAATGCGCCTCGTTGTGTTGTTCGAAACTAATTCGATTAACGGAATGCCAGCTACTGCACGTGTAATTGCGCGTGCCCGCCAATTTCCATAAGTATTTCAGTGCGGCCAAAACAATTCGGCCAAGACAAAGTTCTGCCGGGAATTCTTATCGAGCTCCCGACGTTATAATACGGACCAGTAATTGTATGTGCAGTCGCTTTTGATTGTCTGCACATAAACGCCTACAGCGCGCACACATTACCCGCGTACAGAAGGTTTGTATAATATAAATTTTTCAGTAAACGTTTTAATTCAACTATAGTAATACTGGAGCGAGAATAAGATGTATACTTTACTTTTATAAATATCGATTAAATCAAAAATTAAACGTTATATTATTGTCGGGCCCGAAATTAACCCCCAAAGCCCCCAAGTAGATTGTTCCCCCTGATTGTTCTAAAACGTTTGGCACCATGATATATTTACCTAAAAACAAATATTAAGCTAATAAACTTTACAGTTACTAAATAAAAATTGGAAATACATTTTTAAAATATTAATTTAATAACATGCATGATACCCGTCACTGTTAATTTGTAGGTTGATAAACTGCAATAGAATATAAGTAAGAAAAATTTACCCTAAAATTAATGTTGTAGTCGAGACTGGCTGTTATACTAAACTTATTGTATATAACTTTAAAATAGGGCCAAAAGTAGTTTGGTATTTGTTTTGGTCCGCGAGCATAACATACAGTTGCGTTTGTATGGTTTTATGTACTTAGGTTTTTATTTTTAAGTACAACAGGCAATGTAGATGTAAATAATATGTGATCGAAATTAAAAATAAATTATGGGAACACATTAAATAACTAAATTGTGTTACTAACATATTATATTTTAATGTTATACCCGCGGATTTGCCTTAGCGCATCTACAAATGGGTTTGGTATTGACAAAAACGTATTGCCCAAAGTCTCAGCGGGGTTTAATAAAACGCATCTGCATTCAAACGGGCTTGTATAAATCTAAACGATTGTTTTGTATAAAAAATAATTACAAAATTTACATAATCTACGGATTTTTATTGAAACAAAAAAAAAATCCAAAAACAATAATAGTTTGAAGAAATAAAACGATAAAATCATGAACTAAAGTGATAAAGGCACCTTGACGCAATAAAAAAATAATATAAGCACTTGACATTATGAATATTATTTTCGTTAAAGCCTGATTTGAATAGCAAAATAATTAAACATAATGACATCACTTAGTTTTTTAACCGTGCAAGCTGTACATTTCGCTGTATTACATAATAACAAGTAATTCATAGTTATTCCAAAGAAAATGGCCCGTCTACTCTTAAACGTCTCATAAACAAAAAAAAAACACAGCTTTTATCACGTTCGTTTAAAAAAATAATATTATGTAAAGGTTTAGCATTTGTTACGATTTCTACAGTTTTGTGAAAAAATAAATGTGCAAGAAGGTGGTGAATCAGCTATTGTACAGCAAAAATGGTCACATCTGTGTAAACAAATTTTACGCTCGATGACGAGTTTACTGTTTTTCCTACCAAGTCCAACAACAACCGCTCCATAGTTAAATTAAATCCATAACGCGTTCAAGTGCGTCGATGCTCGTTTCAATAAGAATATGATACTGAACGTGTACACTTAAACAAGTTGAATCATTAACTGTTACCCGAAAAACAAGAAAGCCGTTTACTGACGAGAACCTAATTTGTAAGTAAAAAAAACCCCAATTATAGAATAATAATAATTAACCGCAACTAACGAAAAAAAAAATAAACTACATCAATACATCGTGGATGCGTTTACGTTAGATTTTAACTTACAATTAGTATTCAGAAGTGTTAATCGTTTTGTTTATTGAGATTTAAAACATTATGATTTTTGTATTTATCCCCGTCACCCTGTTTTTACAATTAATAACAATAATGGTAATAAAACGATTAAATTATACAATTTTTTATTATTATTATTACTATTAAGTTGTAGAATATAAAACAACTTGTATAGTATAATAATATTTAAGTGATAGTTTTGTACGGATAAACGATAACTGACAATATGTGTAATTTGAGAACAAACATCTGTGCAAGTGTTGTTCGCTTGTAACGGTGACGAAACTGTGGGGCTAAAAAAAATATATGTTCATTATAGGTACCTAGGAATAATGTAATATTTTATAACTAAGTACCGAATAAATTTCAAACATCATCAAATTTTTTTAGTTTTTTTTTTAGTGTCGCACTGTTTAGTGACGCGCCGTTCAATCAAATACACATATCGGTAGAAATACAAAGACATTTAAAGTAAATAGTTTAAGTCACACGCGTCTTATCATCGAGGAATACACACATTATTATTCGTCTCTAATTTACCCACGACAAGAAAGTGATCGAGTATTACTCATAAGTCATAGTACAAAAATCTTTTTGTAGTTTAGAGAAACATTACGGTTTGCATAGAACGCCAAATTAGTTCAAACAATATTTAAACCAAAATATTGACTTTTGATTAAATCTAAAACCATTTATTTTGAACTGCACAAACAATTTTGATAATTTTATTTATTATTTTCTATTTTTTTTTTTGATTTTAGAAACATGTTCAAGACGGTATTAGTGGTATGCGTGTTTTCACTTTGGTCATCATGGGCAATGGCGACCATGGACGCTATAGACGAAGCCAAATGTATAGCGCATTCTAAAAATGAAATTGGCGGATACATTATGCTGGAAGGATGGCAAAAACTTTTTCCTCGTCATTATAAGTTTACCGTTACCGAAGATGGAGACCTAATAGCCCGAAGCAAAAGACTGAAGCTAAACACCATCATACACAATGTCAGTACACAAAATATTTTGTTTTGAAATAAAAAAAATAATAATATTAATGATACTCGGATGAGTCTAAGTCTTAAAACATCATTAACTATTAATATTCTGATTATTACAGTCCATATACGGATGTTCACACGAAGAGGACGACGATGCTGACTATTGTCCGAATGTCAACTTAGGACATTTTAAATCGTGCAAACACGGTAAAAATTTGAAAGCCGCCATGTTTAGATCGGCGAGATGTGCGTATGTCGACATATCAATCAAACACTTGGTGCTAGCCGATTACTTAATGCTCAAATTTCCTATTGACGATCAAGTATGTATGTTTATGTAAATTGTCTTAATCGCCATCCTAGGCTTCCTTTGCTAGACTATCTTTTCTCGGAAAGGCAAAGACTACCACCCTAGTAGCGCGGGATTCTTATAGGTTCTTAAAAGGCTTTTGTATTAAAGAGTCTTATCGGTTCAACTAGGATTCCTGTTTAGGTGTTAAAAAAAATTAGGAGTCTTCATGTTGTTCTAAAATGAGTTGTCAACGAGTTTTTGTTCCTATGATATGAGGAGTCGGACTGGATATTCCACAAAATGCTAAAATGATTAGGGAAATGAAAATTGAACCTACTGTGCTCTTCTAAAAGAGGAGTTTCGAATCAGGAAATTAGCGGGACGACCATTAAACCCTATAATGGATATCCTTAAGGTATTTGTCATTTGTTCGTAGAAATTCTTAGAGACATTATTAGTATTCCCGCTGCTACTATAAGGAAATTTCTTCGATCATCCTTTACTGTTGGTCTTACTGAACTTATATCATTGTTTGTATATTTTAAATAGTTGGAAAACGCCAACAACCTCGTCGACGGTTCAATAATGCCATTGGGCGGATCCGTAATGGATATGCTAGCAATGCTGTTGTACGGCGAAGTCGGCGGCATCGGCGAGCTCATGTCGTTGCATCTTTATTTGAACAATAGCTACGAAACGGTATTGCTTTACAAGGTGCCGGCGGATTTCGTGAAGAACGAGACAGATTTTGTCAACGCTCGAACTCGCATGACAATGGTGCACGGACAAATTCTAGGCAGGTTACACGACTTCTGGGGTACTTGGTGTGATAGCAATGATCCGTTGGTCGACTACCGACAGAAGTACACCGACTTGGACTTTCAGGCCGTTCAACAAGAAATGGAATCGAACGTCGTCCAGGCCGACCAGTTGGTTCGCGGTCTTGGTGTCAAGGACAGCAGAACCGATTTAAATTTCGAACCCAGCCGGTTGGTGTTTAAAGAGTTGGTGGAAACCATTTCTTGGCGTGGAGCGATACCAAACGAAATGATGCTTAACCTGGGAGTGAACGCGTTCGAGGCCACGTTTGAATTCGACCCCAGAGCTTTGCGCCAGTACCACAAGTCGGTGTTACAGACCATTTACACGTGCTTCTATTGGTCGGCCATTACTCACCTTAAGTTGGGCCTCCGAATAATCGACGAAAGCGAAAAGCCCGACGTCGGTTACAACTCGATGCATTTTTTGGTGAATTTCGCCCAGTACATGAGACCCTTAATGGCGTACGACCAAGACATGTCCCAGGCCATCGTTGGACTACATCAAAGAGTGTCGAGGAATCTAACCGGTCTGTTTTACTTCCTCTTTACTTTGTACCACGACACAAGATTCGATATGTCGGTTTTAACCTCTGACGAGACAAAGTCTAGAATCCAAGAAATACTAAACGCGCTCATAGCCGATATGAAGCACTTGTTGGGATCGGAAATGCAATACGTCGATACCGATTCGTTGAGCTACATAGAAGCCCTAAACTTGATGCGTTCGAACTACAGATCTTTTACCAAACTAGTAACCACTTCTTCGGGCTTTAAAGCGAGCCGGGAGAATTTGATAAAGATGGAACCATGCTTTTTTTATTCTTCAGATGATATCGAGATTACTCAATTTTAATAATATGTTTTCCTTTTTTTTTTTGGTATAAGCACTAATACTATTGTAAATGGGTAAATAGGTTATATTGTTTGTCTATATTATTTATATAAAAACGCTCATCAATGGCTTAGTGATAAACATTTTAATTTGATTACCTATAAAAAGATAAATGAAAATTGTTTACCTTATAACTTCAGTTAACGAATTTAAAATTGTTTAGTTTAAAATATATATGTTTAAGTTTCTAGTATTATATTTTTAGATTTATAGATGCTTTATTTTTCAAAGTTTTCATTTGTGTTAACGATTATATTGAATTACTGTTGATTTATAATAAACTTTATAATACACATTATAATATTAGTTTAGGAATTTATTTATATACGTTAATATAGTTGATAAATTGATCACGAGGTGAGGTATAAATTGTCTAAAGTAGCTACAAGCAGCGAAACTAGACCATCCATATTTTTAGACCGTGGCATTTTAATAATATATTTATTATATATATCACAGGAAAACCTATTAATGATATTTATATACATAAGGATATGAAAAAAATGAAAAGAAAATCTAATCGCATTCTCATCCATCGAGTACAAAGCTATCCGTCATATTAAACTATCCTGACCAAGGTATAGGGTAAAAATAACAATACCACGATGGACCCTATTGCCGCTAAACCCCCTCCATACCACTATCTCAATCCATCACAGAGATAATACAAAAACAACAGCCGCAAAGCCCTGTCAACGCTAATTCAATCCTCATCGTTACCTTCTAATGGGATTGTGCCCTGATCGAAAACGGAAGCGTTGGTAGTCAGCCAAATACCTAGACAGTGTTATTTTCAACAAAAATATATGTATACATATTTTTTTATTTACGGACATAAATCCAAATTACTGTACAGTACAATGATAACAATGATTATTTACTATACCATATACTTACTTACTCATCATATATACATACATATATTATAAGATTTCACGGTTATTGAAAATATTACATTCTTACATAAATATGTTGTTGTTTGATTAATTTTACTTTTATGATACTAAAACAAGAGTGATTAATAAAATTAGGCAAACTGTATTAAAAGTTTACTGTATTAACTGTATTAGGCATATTGTATTAAGGGCTCGAAATTGATGATATGAAACTGGAAGAATTTAAAAACATTTACAGAAAATTACATCAGATAATTAAAACATTTTGTCAATTGCTTTAAGACTTTTTAAAAACTTTTTTTTTATGAAATTATAGTTATTAATAAATCTCATGTACAAATCACTCGAAAAATCCTAAAAAAATTAGAAATTATGTTTTTTGACTCCATTCAACGGATCTTATTAACTAATTCTTGATATAACTACTATTTAATAATCTAAATGTAACTACATCCGAGTCATATTCATAATATATACTCATAAGGTTAAATTAGGTCAAACCTAACCTAGACTACTCCAAATTAAATAGTTTAAGAACATACATAAAAGCTTAAAGCCATGTTTAAATATTAAATATATGACTTTAAGAAGTGGCAGTATTTTTAAGGCTTTAAAAAAAAATTAAGTCCCGCGAGATCCCTTAGCCTTGCTCTTGGATCTGCGCTTGGGTACAATGATAACTCCAGCGTCCCAAGGTGCTCGCATAGTTTACCGGGATTCCAATTATATACAAAGAAAATGTATTCAACAGCTTTCCATTTGGGGAAATCGAATTTTTCCAATGACAAAGTTCGGCGTGGTTTGTTTGCCCCATCCCCCCCTCGGAGAGGGTGAAAGTTCGATAACAATGGGCGTGGTTTTAAAGGACGGGCGATAAGGGAAGACAAAAGGCCCGGGGAGACACACACAAAACGTGTTGGCTATGGAAATTATTCAGCATTGGCGAAATGGTAGTCTGAATATGTTCGGAAACGGCTACGGTAGTTCCATTAATCACCGGATCGACGCATTTGCCTAAAACCAGACCCCTAGACCGTTGTTTGATAAGATTACAATCTCCGGCAGAATAAACATTTCTACCCGTCACACAACAAGAGGGTGAAAAGTCCATATAATATTATGTTAACGGAGTCATGATATCTCGCGTATGTGCGCATGCAATATTCACATTATTCTAAACAGTAAACGTTATATGTATATTATACTATTATAGTAGACAATATTATAATATTTTGTTTTATGTCGTCGTGTTCGAAACTCCAAAGTGTTATAAATGCAATGAATATATATTATATTTATTAATATTACCAAAGAGTTTTTCTCATATATTATACTGTAAACTTTAATAAATCGTTTCTTATGTTTCCTATATTTTCTTTGTAACGAAGATTTTGCTGGACACTTATCGGAGAAAAAAAAAATTAACTATAGAAATAGGTTTGCCAAATAAAATTAAAAAATGCTCATAGTGGTTGAAATAAAATAATAAATACTATTATTATAGCTCATACGTGAAACGACTACACCGCGGTTGAACGTGACGTCGTTCTACAATAATGTAATAATGGTTATATAAATTCGATTATATTTTATAGATTTGCATATTATCGTTTTACTGCCGTGAACTCACGTTTTTCAACAGACAAAATACAATTTATAACACCGTATAAAATAATATTATATTTAATTCGTCTGCCTTGGATAAAATACTAATTAACAGCACGTGAGTCTGCATAATACTTTTCGAATTAAACAGAAACGACATTAGTATTAGGCGGACAACACACCTTTGTAATTTAAATGTAAAAACTAGTCTTTGTAACCGTCCATTAGGTTAAGCCCTTTTTTCTTCTCGCCTCTGAAGAACACTGAATTCCCCGGCGACAATGGGTACTTTCGCCGGGCTTTCCCCAAACATTTTGTTTCTATATTCATTACCGTCTTATTTATTACCTCGCCCTGTAGACGGCTTAGATAAACGGACCGTTACAAGGTTATAACCGCGTGGAGATGAAGATAGGTTTTGCTTCAGCGTTATGTTGATTTAGTATTATTTTGTACATACATAATTTATACTTAATAATATATAACAACCACTTAATAATAGTTGGCAACATACCGTAACTCACAAACATAATATACATAATAATAAATTGACACATCTTCTCTGGTGACTTTACAATTTGCTGTTTAGTTTACTTTCTTTGTGGTTTTTTCTTTGACGCTAAATAGCCAAAGTTAACCCAATCAAATACCTTCGCCCCAAATATACCGTGGAATCTTGAAAGGCAACCTAAACCTAACTTGATCGTCCGTGATATTTTTACAATAGTCGTCAAATTAAAAAAATCCAAAAACATATAAAATTAATAGTATTATGATGTACACACTATTTGTGTGTAACTAAATTATGCTGTTTATTAATAAACGTGATGTCATCGAAAGACAAAGAAAATTAGGGCTCGTTATTATGTTACATGTTACACGTTACAATGTTTAGGACTTAGGTGATAGGTCATACATTTTTTGTAGATATGTACCACTGTTAATGTATAACTACATTTTACCCATGTAAAGGGGCGCCATTACCCTAAAACTGCTCAAATCGTAAAAAAAGCATCTCCTGAGAGTTTTTTTCGTTCAAAGAGACTTGTACAAAAGCGTTGCAAGAGTCACAAAACAAAATATATTGAATACTAACATTGGTTCCTCTTACGATCATATATTTCCTATATTTTACTCTTTAAGGTGTCTTCTAAGCATAATATTAGTTACATAAATAAAAAGAAATTATTTTTCATTTTTACTTTTGTACAACTCCCCGTCGTCAGCGCTGACGCTATAATCAAAAGGCACTTTTTTATTTATGCTGACTGTCCTTTTGGGTTTTTTCAAGTAATCCTAATAGGCTGCCCGTCTATTTATCTCTCCTCGCTCTGTTCGCGTGTCGCTGCAGCAACTCGTGTGTAGTGCACCCCTTCTCGCCCTCCCTTATTCTCTTCCAAAATTCCACCCCTGCGCGGCCTGAGCGTCGCCAAAAAACCGAATTTCCAGCGGCCCCCGAAGGGTTAATTGGCCGTGCCATTAGCGAGGTGTATACGCGGCCGGCGGGATCCCAGTTGTTTATATCATTTAACAAGCGACAATTTATAACTGCCAACGTTGCACAGTTTGCACGTACATTATCCGGACAAGGGGAGAGCAGTCGGTGTACGTACAGCTCGAGTAGATTAGGGAAGGATGGCAAGGTACAATATTTTTGACGAGAAACAGTACCCCTTTCATCAAATGTCCTATTGTCCTGGGTCCTCCTTTTCCGTGTAAATAATATGTGCCACCACCGGGGACCTATCTGTAATAATATTATGCCGGCGACTAAACATACATGGATCCATCTACCAATTGATCACAGTCATCAGCTATCCTCATACAGGCTGAGACAAAGTTTTAACGACTTAATCTCCCGGACAAGTGTGTGCCGTAATAGTCTTTCTTGAAATACGGTGAAATAATTGTTCCCTATTAAAGTGTGTTCTATATGCAACAGTGACTTGTATAGTAAGTCACTATTAAAATGTAAATATATTTATAATTTAGCTATACTATTACAGTTGTCTAAGCTGTTAATACTCGAGGGTGGAATGGACCACTAGCCTACACTGTTCTACAGAGTACTATAGGCCTACTAGCTCAGTAATTATACTTAGAGTTCACTCGATTACATCCTTGAGAGGACGCCACACAATAGTACACTCATGTCTCATGAAATAATCTAGCAAAGAATAATTTATATTGATATTAAAATATATGTTTTGCTTTCTACTATTACAACGCAGTTTTTTATCTGTACAATAATTATGCGTTAATGTACTTTTATAGAAAATTAAAGATTAAAACTTTTGTAGTTTTGAAAAGTTAAACAATCTAAAGCGTTATTACTCTGCGTTATTAGCAGTCTTAAAGCTTGTTAAAAAAAATTTCAATTACAATAATTTTAGTAATATCTCTTGATCTTAAACTTAGTATGCAAATATACTTACACATTGTAATTTAGGTAATGTTTATAGTTAACTCGATTTAGGAAAATGTATTTATTGAAAAATTCAAAACTGTCTCAATTATATTTTTTTTATTTCACCTATGAACCTTATTCCTATGACAGCGTAGGCCTTTTCTTGTCCAGTTTTCCATAGAACTTATTCATAACGGAGATTATTTTACTTGAATAATAACGGTTGTTATTAGAATACTATGATGAATTCGATACCAAATGAAACCAACTGGTTACGAAATGTTGAATTTGTTTCTCTTATTACTGAAACAACCGAAAGTTCTCAACGCCGTAAGAACATAATATACGATTGGTTAAATGAGATTGGACGCGAAGATAGCGGCAAGACGTCGGTTTATTTTCGTTTACTGTTTATATTAACTCAGTGTCTGACGGGTCCCATAAAAAAAAAGTTCTTGAACGCAACGTTCATAAATCATCCACGACTTTTTTCTGTTTTTCATTCTTTAGGTTTAACGTTTAATTTAAAATCGCACTGCGTCTACTTAAGGACGCCATTGTTTTTAATTTACCTACCTACAGAGGCCGCGTCCACCCCAAGAGAAATCATCAATTCCTGAATGTAATTCCTGGCAAATCTACTTGAAATAGCATAATATTATAAGTCGTCCCCGCCGCGTACCACAGGTACCGTTTTCTATATTTTAATGGGAGCGAATAATAAACGTGTCGACCAACGTGGTTTGTTTTTAATGATGAAGCTGTCGCATTCTCAAGTGCTCGAGTTAAGTGTTTCGGCTAATAATATTTAAAACCCTCCACGCGCGCTATACATATAAACACCAACGGGTGTATCCAAACCCTACCAAAGACTATTTTTAAACGGATATGACGTGCACAAGTAATGCGTTTACTTTTGGCCTGGAAACACTTTGAAAAAATTAACTTGTACATTGTTCACGAATTTTCATCGGGTTATGAGTTATGGTGAAGTGCACTACTGTGTTTACCTCTCAAAATTCAAAGAAGCCAACACCAAGATGTTCTCTGTGTGCCGTTTAAACGTGGGGCGACCGAAATACGATAAAATAATTCATTTTTGAACCACTCTTTAAAAACATACTCTTGTGTTTGATATATTATGTTTATCGTAAGTGAAATAATGTTTACTGTTTAAAATTTCAACAAGAGTTAAAACATACCTAGGTACCCTACACATTACATGAACCACTAGCAGAAAACCCTTCGCGATCTATTCAGGATCATACAAAGTAAATCTTTAAAGACTGAGAACTTCTTATATGTCTCAACCAATCGTGTGATATTTTCGTCTAAAACATGAGATAATAGTTTTTATTTCACCATTTTACAACAACGGCAATTTCTCCTTTCAATTGGCAGGCAAGAAAAAAAATTAAACAACGACTATATTATATACTTGAAAAATATGATCAAAAATGCAGATCTGTATTGAAGTTATCATCTACACATAATTGTATGCTTAAATGGACTTTTAACAAAATGAAATTTCGACAGCTACCCCAATACACAATATTCGTTTTAAAATAATATCAAAGCCCATGTTTAACATATTATTTAAGCACATCAAGTAAAGAGTAAAGCTGTAAAACTGGTGCCATAATGATGTGATCAATGTTTATTATGGGGAAAAGACCCACGAAGTCCAATAATACAGGCGATTTTCGAAGTCGCCTGCTAACAGCGTTTAAAGGTATTTTTATTTATTGAAAATAAAGCTACGGGATATTAACGTTAAAGTCTAAAAAAAAAAATAAAAGGGTCGACAGACATAATAGCCTATATATCGGGGCACAGTAGTATTTTACAGAATTCTGGACCGTGTTGCCGGAAATCCTATTTGTATCCAACTACGCAGGACAAGGTCGGGGTGGGGTACAGAGAAGTTAACGATACTCTTATGTGTTCGGTACAGATAGGTGCGAGCCAGTCGGCTAAGACCGTTTTTCTTCGTCAGGAAGCAAAGCTGACGGCGGCAGCTATAGCAAGCGACCGGATAAGCTTTTTAACGGAACGGACAACTGCGAAACTTAAGGAAGCAACTGCAAGCCAACGCAGTATCGACGACGGCAGCTGTAGTATAGTGGTAATCCGCATGTTGTCTTGTCGCGCGTTTCTTCCATTTGGAGACCTTAAGCCTTACAAATCAGCGTTAGCCTACGAACAAATAAATAAAAGTCGCCGCCACCGTAGCCGTCGTTCGGACAGAGCAAAAACGGATTTGGCACAAACGATTTTTTCCAATTTAGATAATCGATACGATTAGACGAGTACGCGAACGCCATAAAAGAAAAACGAATCAGTTATCTACGACGTTTTTTTTTTTTTACCGATTGTAAATTCAATACGCGTTTAAAGATGTATATTCAATTTAAAAAAAAACGATGGCACGGAAAATCGTGAAAAAAATTACCGTTTCTTTTGGTTCAAAATCAAACAATGAACACACGAATAACACTTGGATGATTAAAACTGGGAACGAGATAAATGTCCCGAGCACAAAATTATCCAAAATAGTTTTATCAGGTCAAACGTTTGTTTTTTTTTCGTTAGTTTTTAGAAGATTGGAAGATTTATTATCAAAATATATAATGTGTTAATGTAAGACTAGCTGGTGAGCTCATCTGTCACTAAGGTAACACTTGAGGCGGTGGTAGTTAAACAATAGGTTTATAGTATTATTATAATCTTACCTTGCCAACTCCCGTGAGCTCTTTGCCGGCGATCCGGCGCTGGAGCAATGGCGGCAATGGTGGTGCATGCTTGTGTAGACCACTGGCAAATCCATGAACACCGACACCGGCTTCTTCTCCCTGCGACCCTCGTCTCTTCCTACGATGCGGCGAACCATTTAAATTCAGTTTTTGAGACGCCCTGTAAAAATTAAAAAAATATCATAAGTTTTAAAAATAACCATAGCTGTTATACACGATGCGCAAAATTACCAAAAAGCAGTACATTTAATACGAAATAGGTAGTCTATTTATTTTTAATATCATTTACATTTTCGGCCAACCATAATAAATAGTTTTGAGTTTAGCTTTTATGTACCGTTCTAATGAGAGCAAATTAAATTGAGAATGCCAACAGAAAATGTAAAAAAACGAAAAACCCAGTGTGTTATCACTACTAATAGTTGGAACATTAGAGTTTTATTTAAGTTCGATTGACTGTTTATTGATTTAAGCGCATTCACCTTAAATTTAAATACCGTACTTGACGGGAAGAGAATAACTCGTTGTGGTAATATAAAACCCAACCGTTGAAAAAAAAATAAACGTGTAAGCTTGAATAATGGTTTTACACAAGAGTTTTAGAATGCAAAGGCCGTAGGCCATACATTTTGAAAATCGCAAAATAAAAGGAAAATTACACGGCTGGAGTTTCGCAAATGGCTTTCTCCCTAAAAAGAGTATCATTTTCATCCGGTAAACCATCCATCGTTGACAAAAAAAAAAAAACAAAGAAAAAAGAAATATACGTGCGCCGGTAAGTGCTGTTGTTATCTTAATTTTTGTCAAAATATATTTTCCAATAAATGACTTATTTAAGTTTTCTTTAGTCTTCCGAATCAATGAATAGTTTAATGGAAAAAAAAACTTATTTCAGCAAAGTGTCTCAAGTCCATTTCGAGTTAAGGATTAAAACAAAAATACAATTTAATAAATCAAAATATAGGAATGACTTTAAAACAAAATCTTATAATACGCCATTTTTAATGTGTTTCATGATATTGTGCTATTAGTACAGCAGTATCTAACATTCTTTAACTTTTTGTTCTTATTAATGACAAATAATAGTTATAAACATAATTTGAAGTGAACACTGAAAAAATATTTAATAAAAAATTGTTGATATGATAATTACGTTTTTTAAATTTTTTTAAAACTTGGTTTTGTAAAATATAATATGTAGTTAGTAGAACAATAGTGATAGTGGAGTATATAATTTTACTGTACAGCAAGTGACAAAGCTAATTGTATCATAGATTTTTTTCTTTTGACGGTTCTTCCGGAATTTTGTATTTTTAGAAAATTTCTTATTATTTAATTATAACTAGTCGCATTAGTAAAGAAAGATACCTAATGACATTATGTTTCTGGTTAGGTTAGGTAATTTTTTTAAATTAATTAAAATTTAATTACAAAAAAAATGTATAAATTGGAAAACTTAATTGAGAGATGGTTTTTTTGTTAAGTAAATACGTACCTAACTGTTTAGTTAAAAATAATAATAATTTTATTGTTGTTTCGTTTTGGCATTTGTCATTTGGGCGAAAAACAACTACAGTACTAGTTTTCGACTGTTGGTCGCATTTTAATTTTCATTATTAAATTCCACCAACTTTAATGGAATTACACGATAAATATTAATTATTATTGCACTTGCCGTTCTTTTTCTTAATTACACGGCCGGGACGCAATAATGTTCTATTATACAGAAGTCGCCGCTGATAACAGAATTCAGCTTTTGTGTATAATGTACATGTATATGAATAGGTGTACTATGTCGTTGTCCTGCCATCATCCCTTATTATTATTATTTTTATCACTCCCGTGGGAATTTTGAGTTGTATTACAACGACCAATTACATTCATATATATATGTATAATAATAACCTAAAACATTACACCTGAAGTTTATTTCGATGTAGCTGCTGGCAAATGATCTATATTTTTGGATATTGGTGAGTTAATAATAAGCAAAATAGTTCAAACAGCAAACGACGCATTTAATAACTGGTTTTTATCGACCGCAAAAAACAAATGTCGATGAATCAATTAGAAACGGATAATATGTAATTTGTTGGCAGCGATTTGATCTTATAACCAATAAGGACATGCATGTTACCTATTACTTTTATAATTACCATTACCTTCTCTAAATACTACAACAGATGTTTGGTACAATTTTATTAGTATTATTTGTACAATATTCGAATACAACGTCAACTCTGATTGTAATGTACATATGTTTTCACCGTCCAACGTTATTAAATTCAAACGATGGTGATGTAATATTCATTTTTAGTCGTAACTGTTAAAGTTTTTCCTAAACATAATTAATATTATTCGTACAATAGATACGTCCCAGATTCAATTATTGTTTGATAAAACGGGTTTTAATTATATTGAAATAATTGAGCAGAGCGTATTTATATTTTATATCGTGAATATTATAATAATTATTATTGTGATTGATTGGTATTTGTACTATGAATCGACTTGAGACTATTTATTTCGAGCGTGTGGAAAGACTTTTACCGTCCTGTTATTTTTTATTCAAACCTTTAGTATATAAACTATGCATCAACTACACGTAGCAGAAGTGGTAAAACGATTCCGAGGTATTGCACATGATTTTGTGAAGCAGTATAAAGTTGCACCTGATAAATTGGAATTTTCAGCGCGTTACTATTTTACCATTCAAATCGTACAGTTTTTTTTATTATTTATTCGATTCGGGACGTTTAAATGAGGGTTTTCGACGGGTTGCCATTATAACAGAGTCCGCTGGTATCAATTCGAATGGACGGGCGCGAATGTGTTGGTAAAAGATGAAAAGCGCGTCGTAAAAACTTTTTTCCTTGTTTTCCTTTCTCCGGGTTTAGCTCTATTCGATTGAGAAAACAAAAGAGATCGGACGCCTTACGTTGTGCTGATTCCAGTAAAGGCGTATACCGTGTTTGAGTGCCGATAAAAAATATAACTGCTGGAATCGTAAAGTGCGGCAACGACGATGACAGTTAAAACTCGTCTGTTGAGACACCGACGAAAGCTCGGAATTAATAATTTCAAAACGCTTTAGCTTGTTTTTATGTTTCACTCAGCTGTGGTCTTGCGGCGCAAGATTAATAAAATAATACTCACAGACAGTCTGTCGTCGTCAAGGGATTTTAATTTCATCTAAGGTCCGTTAAAATTAACCGTCTGATTAATTATTATTACTATATTAAGCCTTTGATGAACGACAATTCGCTAGAATTCATGTCTCCCAGAGTGTTTACTATCTTATACGGATAGTCTTATTGTTATGTAATAGTAATTATTCAACGGAGCTTGTCAATACCCCCGCCTACGACGAAACTTAATATTTTAACAGAACGATTAGTGTAAAAGAAAACAAAACTAGTAGGTCAAATGACACTGTGTCGTTGTTTGGCTTTTCTTATCGTTCGCATCATACTCGAGACTAATTTTATTTTTAATTCTACAATCCACAATACAAAACTCAAATAGTAGATTCTCGGATCCGTTAGCCTATGACAGTCTACAAGACGGGTGGTTGAGTTTAACCGGTTATATCAATGAGAAACTAGCTTATCCTACATTATACCGTGAAAACAGCGACAACAGGTGGCATCTGCAAATATCCTCATTTCCTCTTAGATTTAAACGCATAAATATTTTTTTTTTTAACAAAATATGAGCTTTAAGTCATAATGTGTGAAAATTGCTAAAAATGTAGTAGATTAATTTTTTAGCGGTACTTGTAATTTGTTAAATTCTTGTTAATAGTTTAGAAAACCATGTCCGATCGAGGGCGCGTTCGTGTGTTCGGCCAAAACGCCAACAACAGCAGCTGGATACACATACGTTCTTCTGGGAAATTTTCTAGCATCGCACTCGCCATGCTCGGAAAAGCTTTCGGAAGAAAAAACACAACTTTCACACGGTGGCAAAGCGGCGGCGGGGGAGACGACATGTGCTCCAAGGAGTAGCCGGACGGTCACATGGTGTCCGAAAGTTTTATTATTACGTTCCGGAAAGTTGAAAGTCGTTATACACATTTATATATATATATATAAACTCTGAACTACTCGGAAATCATTAGCGACGGCCGGACGGTCAAAATGAAAAAAAAAAAAAAAGATAGAAAAAGCCCAAGAAGAAGAATAAGAAGAAGTGCCCCCTAGCTGATGGGGCTTAATTTCATTAACGCGCCGTCTCTTCCGCAATGGTGGGGGGGGGGCACGCGTGGCAACATCCGTCGTTCATTACCAAACGTTCTTCACGTATGGCCACCACAAAGTGTGGAGACGGCGGAAAGGCAAAAGATATACGATGGGCGCGGAGTGGAGGGTAGGGTGACGTCACGATACCGAAACCCGATCACGTCGTCCAATACACGGTAGACGCGGTTGTCGTGCCGGTCACGTCTTCCTTTATCCTTCCACCTTCACATCATATCCTCGTCCTTATTCGCGTTTTTTCCCGCTTCTTCTTCTCCTTTTTTTTTTTTTTTTTTTAACCCACTATACGTTTTACTTTTAACTTTGACAGCCACCTCTGCCGCGCACGGTACATGTTTTGAATATTTCACCCCCTTCTCTCTACATAATAGCTCCGAAGAAACCTCAATTTCTTCGGCAACCCCCCCCCCCCAGGCAAGTGCCCGCCCGGTGTCGGTGGATATATTTTTATTATTTCTCGTGTCCGACGTAATAACACGGCGAAAAAAACATGTCCCGCAATATGGGAATTCCATATCATGTATAATATTATTATATTGCCGAAAGGTCGCCGCCAGAACAAGACTAGAGTTTTATATTTCGTTTTTCAATTCGCTCGATACGCACCGCACGTGGACTATTATGTAGATTCCATTTCGAGCAATGTGTTTTCGTCTGTAAGTATACTTATTAGAAAATAGTATGGAAAACAGCTACTTTTCAAAAATACACTCTACCAACAGTAACGCAATTCAGTCGTACAGTTTTACATTACACAGTTATATTTGTTATATGTTTTAGACGAAAAAACGTTTCACATAACGTATAGTTTATTGTACAAAAGAAATCCAAATTAATTTGTATTACTCACATATTATATGTGTTTATCAAACGTAAAGAAATTAGTTCACCGTTTTAAAGA